AAAATGATTTTGTGGGTAGCCAAATTATTAGGGACAGTACTCAGTTTCTTATATTTTCTAGTACGACTGATTTTTTTTGAACAAACAGTTGGTTCTATGGCTTGTAGCTATTTTTTATTCAAAAGAGTGTATTATTAAGATCATAAAAACTACGAGTTACGTGGGAAAAACCATCATGCATCAATTGAAGGAAATCTGCTAAAATTAATCTTAGTATTTAGTGATGCACCCTTTGCCTCAATTAAAGCTTTTATGTCTCGAGGCATGCTGTCTGTACAGACTTTACAATTATGTTGAAGTTCGACGTTGTGATGCCATTCTCTGATGAAAATCGGTGCTTGGTGGTGATCACCTCATTAGCAATCACCCGTTTGGTGAGTCCCCACATGTTCTCTATAGGGTTCATACCCAGTCAGGGCAAAATGGTAATGTTTTTTCGGCCAGGAGCGCACTAACACTCCTGGCTTTGTGGCTCGGTGTCGAATCGTGCATAAAAATGAACTCGGCATCACCAGGGAACCATTCTTCGATATGTAGTAGTAGCCGCATTTTTTTGTACTCGCTTGTACGGATCCTGCTGATGATATATAGGTGTCTCATGCCCTTTGCTGAAATCACAGACCATACCATGATACCAACCGGGTATTTAACCACCACCACAAGGCAGTCTGGATGGAACTGCTCTCTGCAAGACGTCTTCGGAGAAATGAAGTTTTGTCGACCAAAATTTGAAACGCTGATTCGTCGGAAAATATTGAGATAATCACAAAAAAATTTCTATTAACACTATTTTAATTAGTTATTCTCATTCGAATGCAGTCAGCAACAGTCATATTCTGGAGTTATTGGGCCCATTGCAGCCGCATCTTCTTCATGACCTCCATCAGAGGTGGTTTTTGGGTCGACAACGACTGATCAGGTTTTCTTCTGCCAATCACCTTCGGACTGTCATTTGGGAAATTACAATTCCTTCACTGTTTATTATAGTAATTCTATACGAAATATCAATAACGTTTTGATAATTTGTAACAGGAAAAACTCACGAAAAACGATTCAGAAATATTTTTTAGCATCTCAATGTAACACAATTTTTTAACAAATTACCACCATATGAAGAGTATCTCACTTATCTGATAAATGATGCAGAATATCAGATTGCCTGCAATACAAAATAAAAAAACCTTGTGAAGACCTATTTGTTTTTTCAAAAAAAGAAATTTAACTAGAAACTTTATAAATATGAGTACTGTCCCTAATAATTTCGCCACCTACTGTACGTAATACCTACCAATATTTAATTTGTGCCAAAACTAATGCATAAAAGTTGTAATATCTCATAAACCGAGCCCCAAATCAAAATCTTATATGAGTGTAAAAAGTAGAACAAACGAACGCTCCATGGGGTTCCAAATTGAAAAGAGGCATAAGAAAAGTCCCCTTATTTTCGTTCAAAGAATATGTGGTTAACGGCTTGACCCACTAATTTCTAACACCCTGTATATTTAAATATAGGTATATCAGCAAATTACCTATGGGAATTTAATGTTAACAGGCATGATGAATTTGGTCATGTCATAAGTTCATTTAATTTTTAATATTATTTCTAAGAAAAAAGACATGTTCCAGCTTATTTAAAAATTGAGAACGATTTTTTTGAGTTTATATTAAATATATCAAAATATTGAGCTATTGAAAACTAAACGCTTCCAAAAGAGACAAATATATAATATAATATACAGTGTAATCAAGAAATACGTAAAATTTTTTTGGGGTTGTACTTCTCAGTCTTCAGGATCCACATAAACAATTTGTAGAGCAACGTTATATTATTCCACTGTACCTAAAATTGTATTTGTATTCGTACACATTTTTTGTGAAATGAAAAATTTCAAGTATATTAGATTTTGTAAGTTTATTTTTTACTTACGTTATTAATTGGGTATTTGGCCAAAAGGATCAGTAAGGGATTATTTCTAACAAACTTATTTAGATAAACTGTCACTAGGAACACTTTTCACAAAGTATGTTTACGGTACCTACTAAAGAATTTCTAGTTTTGTTCTCAAAATTGTAAATTCTTTTGACTTTGATGTAAGTCAGACTTAATTTAGAATTTATTTGTTTAATTACATTCGTAGGCATACCAAATAAATATCAACAAAGCGATTTAGAGTTATTCGGAAAAGACTAAATTTTTTACCGACTTTGTCGCAATCTATCAGATAAACTTTTGTAGAGGGTTAACTTATTCAGAACCCAAGGTGCATTTTTCTAAAAAAAATTGTTATGTAAGACATCGAAATTGTCACACCGTTGTTTAGATAATTATCACTGTCATCAATTTCGAACGAAAAAAATATGCGTTGTCATTTAAAAAAAATTATGTCATCGCTGCCGTAAGTGGATTATCGAAAAAACAATTTTTTCCACATAACAAGGTGACCTGGATCAAATAAAAATCGACGGGCCTCACCTTTTTTCGAAAAAAAAATTGTTTAATGAAAATATGAATTTTATGCAGACCTTTTTTACCACGCTGTATATACGAGTATCTGTAACAGCAGATAGACAAATAATTAAAATATCGTACCTATGTGTTTTTAGCTGCCAAAGCAATTTCATTCAATTTCCTTACTATTATCAAAGAAATATCCTCTTTTACAAAAGCTATTAAGAACACTGTATTTTTCTTTCATCATGTTGATGTTAATGTAAAACCTCTTACTTTTATAATTTTATATTTTGAGATTTTATAGATAAATTTCGGGACTTCCACTTCGAGAGGTGAGCCTTCAGCATCACTGTTTCGAATATAATTACAACTTTACCATATTTTCGAGTCTATTTAAAAAAAAAATGTTTTTATCATATAAGAAAACATTAGTAAATATATTGCTACTTTGCCATCTTTTATATCTGTTTGGTCAACAAGTCACTACAGTATAATACAAATTAGCAAGGACATACACTTTTTCTAAATACATTTTAAGGGGATGAGTAATAACTATGATCAAGTCAACCATTTAAAGGAGAAGATTATTTCTCTTCTGTATGAGTGCTGTGGGATTTTTAAAATTCTAAAGAAATTGTTCCTTTGCATTTTTACTTGCAGAATATTTATAGCAAGAGTACAAAGAAACAATTTCCCCAACAAACTTTAAAATCCCGTTGCACTCATGGACCTACAGTTTAGAGACGAATATACTCCTTTTTAATATGACCGACTTGCTGAAGGCCAACATTTTTTATCGCCCTGAATCTTATTTATAAAAAAAGTGTATGTCCTTACTATTAGAGCAACTAAATCTATTTTATCCTCAAATTTTTTTTACTCGCAGGCACATATAAAATACCCCCTTTTCGAGTAATTACCTGATTGTTGGCGACCACTCGTTTTTTTAGCGATGTACGAATATTTATCCGCTTTTCATTATTTATTTATTATTATTTTTATTTATTTATTATTATTATTTTATCCACTTTTCAATTTTCATTATTACTTAAGCAAAAATAATTTTATTGAAAACTGATTCTGATTAATTCCTGTGACGCAACGCATCGTTTAATTTTTTTTATTTTTAATGTTAAAATTTGATATACAGTACAATACCAAAAAAAAGTGGTCGGTACCTTTTTCTTTATACTTGCTCCAGTCGACAGAGGCCGAAAAATAACTACACAGGCCTACTTTAAATGATGAGTACAATAACAGGTTAATTTGCTGACAAAGTATTTTATCAGGAAAAAAAGTTATTAACAATTAAATTGCGAAAATTCGCTTTTTTAGTAGTTTTCAGCGGGATGACTATACGAAAAAATACTTAAGACATGATTTGTTCGTAATAAAAATAGCTACAAAATGACGGTGGTCCGATTACGAAATTTGCAATAACAAAGCCATGAGATTGAAAAAACGGTATAAAACGTCACCAAAGCTGCAAAAATGAAGATAATTGAATTTTGCAAATTGTTTTTGGTTTCTGCATTCAAACGGAAAGGAAAGCTTCAAACAAATTTGGCAAAGTTTCGAGTTTCAGATGTAGTGGATGTATAAAAACCTTATAGAACAAAAAGTGTTCTCCTTTTCGGCTTTAGTGTCATTATTGTATATGTATCTATAGTTTTCGAAAATTTTATGACTTTTTGTTTATAATGGACATTTTTACAGCAAAATTGACGTTTTATACCGTTTTTTCAGTCTCATGGCTTTGTTATTGCAAATTTCGTAATCGGATCATCGCCATTTTGTAGCTATTTTTATTACGAACAAATCATGTCTTCGGCATTTTTTCGTATAAACTCATCCCGCTGAGTTATTTAAAGAAAATACCATTAAAAAAGCGAATTTTCTCAATACAATTATTAATAACTTTTTTCCTGATAAAATATTTTGTCAGCAAATTAACTTGTTATTGTAGGTACTCATCATTTAAAGTAGGCCTGTGTAGTTATTTGCGGGTTATTAAGGTTTGACACAGGCCAAATCTCTACAGACTGGACTATTGGAAATATAACAATGGCAATTGAAAGCACTTTTCCAATTTCCGAAATACTCAACGTCATCGAAACTCTAGGCTTGTCTCTGCTACTGGGTGACAAATTTTGTATCAAATTAGTGAATTTTCGCCTACATTATTAACTCGCAGATATTTAGATAAATGTGATATTTTTTTAAACTTTAACATTTTGGTTCACTGAGGCTTTTAAATCTAACATAATTCAAGGAAAAACCTGTACATCAATATTTCAATTTCTGGTTATAGTAAGCCGTCTAAAGGAAAATATGGTTAAAAAAATATTATAATGTATTTACAAGTAAATAATAAATAAGGTACAACATTTTGTATAAAACAAACAATAAATTACAAATCCTGCCGCTTAATCTTGTTAAAACAAGTAATAAGTTGGAAAATAATATTCATATTCACAAAAACTGATCAAAAAACTGATCATAATATTTGTACTTTAAGAATAAATTAAACATCGAAATTAGAGAGTTGTTATTTAGGACTATATGCTTTATAAGCTAGATGTTGAGGATTTTCTATGGACCTCTTGTCCCATCCTCCGCCGCCCGATTGCCAACCACCGCCGTGACCACTAGATTGCCAACCACTGCCGTGCGAAGAACCACCGCCGCCACCTCCTTGTTTTGCGGCAAACAATTTTTTAATTGCAATGATTCCAGATAACAGAAGTGCGATTTTTGCAGTTATCAGAGCTTTACCAGCCAATAAGAAAAGACCTGCTATGGCTACGGGGATTAGGGCAGCCATTTTTGCCGCTACGGCCATCATTAAACCCCCCATCATCCCTCCTTTCTTGCCTCCTTTTCCGCCACCACCGCCGCCACCACCGATACCGCCTCCTCCTTTTCGACCTAAAAAACATGTTTTTTTTTTAAACTGTAAATTACACACAGTATTCTACTCAACCTTCTTCAAAATCTTCAAAAGAAAATTTGGGCATAGTAATCTCTATGTTCCTGGATCCGATGAATTTTGAAATTTTATTCAGAAGCCTAGTATTGAGATCATCGTTTTCGTTGTCAGCAGAACGTGGTAGTGTGTTTTCCAACTGATTCTCGTTGACAGTTTCATCATTTTGCACGTCACTGGCGCGAATTATTGTTATCCCATCTACTAAAGAAAACTTTTCCATGCGTCCCAGTCGATCCATGATTGTGATAGCTTTATTTTTTAAACATGAAGAGAATACGTCTGCAGCTGTACAATCTTCGAAAATCTTAAAAACAATCCGCACACCGGCATTCTCAAAACTGTCCTGAGCTACCGCACTTAAAAAACACGTTGCTAATATTAAAGGGATTAATTTCATTTTCACTATTATCACTACACGTTGTTGCTGAAGGCCGAAATAAAACTGATGCCCGCCTGAATCTTACCTCGTTGTTTTATACGATAGCATTGACACCGGCTGACCTTTCTTTCTTTCAGTGACCTCCTAAGAAATTCTCAGGTAGTGAGATGTGAGGATCGCCCACAATAAGCTTCACTGACATATTTGCCGACTACCCTATAATGCTGACGACGACCTACAATATCATCTTGTGACATCATTAGCGACCTGTACCTCTGAGTCAGTTTCACTTGTTAAACTTTTGCGGACTGGAATTATTGAGAGTAATTATCTTACAAACAGTGAATCTGATTCTTATAAAAAGTGCTGCGAGAGATCGACTGAACTAATTTGTTTACATTATATAATCCAAAACTAAAAATAAATAACCTGTCGCTCACTCCTAAGTTTCCTTTTTTATTTTAATATAATTATACGATTCAGAATTAAATACGTAGATATTACTAGATTAATCGTATGTGTAATATAATAATAATTATTGCATGTGTGAAATAATTATATGTGTAATTTAATTTATTGGTAATTTTTTATATTTAAATTTGACTGTAAATTAAATCATATATTCTTATTTTTCACAGTGATAGCCGAAGATGCGCATCCTATAGGAGGAAAGCTTTATTATTAGCTTTTGATAAATATCGAGATGGACTAGAATTTCTAATAAATGTCAACAAGGCAGATTGTTTTTTGATGGCAAACTAAATAAAATCAAAATGATTCAAAAGTCACCATATATATGAAAAAATATAACAAATTTTTATTAAGAAATTTGAAAGCGGCGAAATTTCTGATATATTTTTTTAAATAAATATATTTAAATTTTTTAAAGAGAAAATTTTGTTGTTGAATCATTTTTATGATTAGAATCACATTTTAGTTTTTTTTGTATTTACTTTTGGAACATTCTGTAAAAAAATACATGCTTATTTCAAAAACTGAGTACCTACTTTTGTGGCTTGTCTTTAGACACTTTCTTAATTTTACTAAAATTTATACAATTATAGCACAAACAGATACAGATAAAAAGGGTATCAAACTTTTGTGCAATATTGTTAGAAAATTGAAGAAACTCTACAATTTGGTGGTAATAATTACACAATTGTAAAAATAATCACAATGCAAGTAAATGTAGCTTTTACTCATGTTTTGTGCCTATCTCCATTCTACTACAATTGTGACAATTTTTATGACATTGTTTTTTTCTCTGTCATTTAAAAAAATGTAGTCGTTAGAAAGTGTAGGAAGAATAAGAAAGACCTTTTTGAAAAAAATACCCATTTCTATTTTAGGCAGTGGAGTAATCACATTGTATAAAAAGTATTTTCATATACGTTTACCGTTTATTGTTACATGTTGACAGAACAATGTAGGTATTAGTACTTAGTGAACACTCCATACAGAATTAAAAAGAAAAAATTCGGTTAACAAGAATCTCGGGGCAGAACATTCCCACTACCTACTTTAATATTCTGAAATTGAATTGTTTATTGGTGCTACTTCGCACACTGTTCCCAATATTGATTAACCTAGAATCCACTAGAATTTTATTTGTATTATATACTTTACGTTTTTTCGCATAATATCTATTTATACCATGTTATTCGAAAGTAGTGTCATCTGTGTCCCATTTTTTGTGATAAGAACTGGCCTATACGGCGGAAAGTGGTATTGGCTTAAATGTTTAGAAATTTTATTGTTTTGTTGACACTTCACTCAAATATATATATACATACTTATTTATTTCTGTTATGTTTATTACATATCGGGTGTCCCAAAATTCGTGTAAGATTTGAATTGAAGAACAACGCATTTTCATTTGTTAATCAATATTTTAAAAATAATGAGGTTTTGGTAGCAATTTTCATACAAAATATGGTCGGAATATTGATTTAACTTCATCAAATGTGAAGAAATTAATCGAAAAATTCAGTGAAATTGGATCAATTAGTGATCTTAAATACGCTGATCGTCCTTGAACAAGTCGGTCAACGCAAAAAATCGAAGCAGTTCGTGAGAGTGTTGCTGAGAGTCCAGGAACATCAATTCGGCGCCGTGGTCAAGAATTCGAGATTTCGAGAAGCTCTGTACAGCGTAGTCTCACGAAAAACTTGCATCTTTATGCTTGCAAAGTTCAATTGACTCAAGAACTGAAGCCTAGTCACAAGAGCGAAGAGAGTGCGTTGAATGGATTATGGAATAACAACAGCAACAAGTGGATGCTGATTTTTCAACAAAATCATTTTCAGCGATGAGGTTTCTTTTCAATTTGATAGCAACAAACCCACGACCACACACGCCTTGAAGGAGGAAATTGAGCGCTGTATCAACGAAATTCAGCTGCTTTTATGGAAAACGGTCATGGAAAATTTGGACAAATGAGGGCGTATCAAAGCTGTTGCTCGATATGTTATTACATACATAACCTTATACTGTATCTGTGTTTTCAATTAAAATGACTTCCAGCGTGAATTTTGAAGTTTTTTATTTATTTTTTTGGGTTAAACTATCCAAATTAAACTATTTTGCAGAGGAATATGGACCTATTTCTGAGTGTGAAACACCGTTAGAAATATTTATAGAGCTATTTACAGACAATTTGTTTGAACACTTAGTATTTCAAATAAACCTCTATGCCACGCAATCCAACAAAACATACTTACCGACCACTAAAGAATAAATGAAGGCTTTTATTGGTATAAATATTATGATGGGATTGAAGCTGCTTCCCAGTTACAAAGACTACTGGTCTTCTTTACCTGAGATTAGAGATAACTATATAAGTTCAGTGATGCCTCGAGTTCGTTTTAGCTGGATTCTAGGAAACTTTCATGTTAACGATAATTTCTAGTTCCAAATTTACATGTGGAAAAAAGATGATCTTACAGAAAAGTGTCTGGGGAACGTGTGGTGATGGATTTGACAAGAGATCTTGTGAATAAAAACCACAAAATATATTTTGAAAAGTTTTTTAATTCCATACCTCTATTGATCCATCTTCAAGAAGAACACATTTATGGATGTGGAACCATGCGCTAGAACAGGAAACATATTCCAAAACAAGCAGCGGTCAAGGATATGCATAAAGGAGATATTGATTACAGTATGTTGAAGAATGGAGTACTTTGTATGAAGTGGAAGGATAATCGTAGCCTATTGATGGGGTTTAATTTTCATGATCCATCTATAGTAGAATTAGTAAGAAGAAAACAGAAGGTTGATAACAGAATTGAAATAGTGGAAATTCCATGTCCACAAATTATAAAAAATTACAACCGATACATGGGAGGGGATGATAAAGCGGACATGCTCAACTCAAATCACTTTATGAAATAGATCGTAAAAGTAAGAAATGGTGGCACAGAATATTTTTTAATTTTTTGGACCTATGTGTTGTAAACGCCTATATTATTTTCAAGTCAAAATCTGAAGGGGCCTTGTAACATTGAAGCAATTTAGAACCTCTGTGGCCAGTGGACTGATTGTTGCTAAAGCAAAAACCCCAAAAATGGGCAAATCTGCATGTAGTAAGCCTCCAAACAACTATAAAACGATATGACCAGAATGCTCACATGCCGGATTTCGCAACTAAAAGAAGGTGTCACTACTAAAAAAAATGTGCACCGCACAAATATTATTTGCCAGTCTTGTAATGTACCACTATGTCTACAGAAAGAACGAAATTGCTTCAAGTTGCATCACGAATCTTGATTTTGAAAAGGAAATAGAAAAAGGCTCAGTGGTCCTTACGGTAGACCACCATTTTTTGAAAATTTTGAATGCAAAAATGTATGTTTTTTGGCGTTTGTCAGCTTTTTGTACTATTTTAAAATAAAATTTCCAAAGCAGTTTGTATTTTTAATTTATATCCATAATTCGGTCCTCAAAGGGTTAATTGAAATTTTTTTTGAAAATTTTAATTTTTCCTTTTGAAGCAAAGATAATCATTTTTGCATAATTAACTTTAAACTCTAGATAAATACGAAAAAGAAGTATTTTTTTTTGTAAAAGTGTTGTAGCACAGTATAGAGATATGTCAAAACAAGTTCATAGAAGTCACACTTTAAGAGAGTGGTTGACCCTACTGAAATGTAAACTTACCAACATAACTTTGTAAACACTAAATGTAGGAACTATTGTATCAAATTTTGTAAAGTTATCACTACGCATTTTTGAAATACTAAAAAAAATATTTTTTCCATAAAATGTTAAGACTTGGAACCTTGGAAACAGTATGCATTTAAATAAAAGTCATGATTTTCTCCGAAGTAACTTTTTACATTATGTTTTCAGACGGTTAATTCCTCGTTTTGGTGATTTGGTATGACCACTGAGATCTCTTGACTTGACTGTCTTTGATTTTTTTTTTGTATGATTGTTTGAAAAACAGACTGTGCGTAGTTAAATAATTTTCGGGTTGGTTGCTACGTCGTTGGTTTACACTTGTTGATGCTTCGAGAGATATGTATACCCCTCTCTTCTTCAGAGCAAACTTTGAAATTGAAAATTAAGTCTGTTGGTCTGCATTTATGTGTGCTGGTTCATGGGTGTTTCGCTGCACGATTCATAGGTTGAAAGACGTCATTTGGACGATACTATTAATATATAAATAATGTAAAAAACTGAGTAAAAGTAAACTTTTATACAGTGTGGACTATTTTGGTGATGCATGTATTGGTATCTTGGAAAATGTAAGAGACAGGAAAATGGTTAAATGGGGAAAGTTTTAGACAGTTCTGTTACTAACTTAATAAAGCTTGCAGACCGGTTCTAGCTCTTCAGGTCTTTGAGTTATTTTGAAAAAAAGTAAATGTGGCGTTTTCGAAAATCGTTTGTAACTTTTTTATTTAGACGAATTTTTCACAAGTTTTTTTCGAGGAACTTTACTGTATATTTAGATTTTCATTGCGACGTTTCGGTTGTGAGAAACCGAATCTTCTTATGGGTGCCATATTGAATTT